TGTGCGTTTGTTCGTTCGGATCCTAATACCCTGAAGGCATGTCGTGAAGGCATTGCTTTGACCTTTGGACTTGAATCTCAGGAGATTGGACATTGCGATGGACTGTCAAAACGTGGTTAAGGACATTGTAGGTGGATGTATCTGGTGCACAGAGGCAATTGATGCTATTGGTGTAACTTCGCCTATGAAAAAAGAGGCTCAAACTATGAAACCCACAATCTAACTAGTTTAGTTCTTCGCTAGATTAGGATAGACACATATGGCTCAGTCTACCTCATGACTCCTTATATCCTGTTGATTATTATCAATAAGTGTTGCGGACTGTTCTAAAAAAAGTTCTTGCTGCGTTCGTTACCGTCTTTTGTTTGTTTTATCCTCGATTTCTTCGGGTTTTTGCTTTTCCTTATACTTTGCTTGTCTTTGTTTTTTCATCGGTTCTGTTTTTTCTTTCTTTCTTTATTATACTTTAGTTTCTTCTTTCTTTCTTGGTTTTCTCCGTGTTTCTTTTGTTTCTTTGCTGGTTTTTGCTTTCTAACACATGCCTACCTTTTCTCAGAACACAATGTACATTTTCAGTGCACACGTGAAACATTTTTTTAAAACATATTGTATATTTTATAAAAACATGATGCACATTTTATTTAAAATACATGTTTTGAACACTTTTTAAAATACACGATAACATTTTACAATGTATTAAATTTTGTAAATGCCAAGGATATTTAAACGAAACATGAAAATATTTTTGAAATATCCCGTACATTTTAAAATTGCGAAGAAACATTTTTTTAATCGACATGAACATAGTTTTACATCTGTATAAACATTTTTTTGAAACAAGTGGATATTTATTTTAAATTTTATACAGACATTTTTAATATTATGATTTTTTATTATGGAATCACTTTTTTGGTATACACTTTTTTAAAATTCACATACATATTTTTTGAAATGTGAGAACATTTTTTCATTGCCAAGAACATTTTGTTAAATCATGTCAATTTTTTAATACTATGTTACTTTTTAAAATTTCGTTATTTTGTATAAAAATAAGTAAACGTCTGTTTTTCAATATATTCATTTGAAATAAAAGAAAGAGAGAAAGGGAAAAAAACAAGCTAGCCTGACACCGTGATGTCATCATGATATCAGTGTGGCCAATACAGGTCCCTGCTGGGTGGGCTCATCACCGGTTGCTATAGCCAGCAGTCGAACGCGGAAGGCTGACTTCTGCCTCGCTATAAGCAAGGCATAGTCCAGCCCACTATTTAGCAGCTTGTGCTGACGATTTTCCTTCATCCTGCCAGGACCTATAGGGAGTGAACATTGCCTATTTTAATGTGTAGATCGGGATAGAGAACATGTGCATTTTCTCTTGGTTCTTTCTATGGTTTTCAATTTAATTTTATTGGCAGTTCTTTATTAGAATTTGTGAACATTTTTTAGAAAATAGGAACATTTCCATGCAATTGTGAATAATTGTAAGTTTTTGTTAACATTTTATACATTCCGGAACATCTTTATATGTTCATGACCATTTTCTAACCCTTGAATTTTAATATTCTTGAATTTTCTAGATTGTGGACCATTTTGCAATTCAAGAATGCATTTTTGACATTCAGAGGACACATTTAATTTCTGAATGGTTTTTGAAATTTGTGAAGTTTTTATTTAAAAAATTGGGATGTACATTCTTTCAGTGTTTGGAATTTGCCCCTCCGCTTGTCAACTACCTGGCATCTTTGTCGTGTATGTTGGATAGATTAGTAATTTTTTTGATTAATATCATTCATAAATAAATAATTAAGATGATAATAACTGCTGAAATATAGATGGTCTTTGGGGGCATGAAACAAATTCAAAAATAATAATCACTAAGGGGCCTCACAAGTGGACAGAATTTGAGACCCCTTTATAAGTGTTTCTTTTTCACATGTTGTAGGAACTTGAGAAAAGGAAGTGGTTTCCGCGCACTATTCCTCCGCCCACCACGCCACGCCTACTCCGCGCGTGTTGTATTCATGATCGAGCCAAGGCCAAACCTATGTCATGCGTACACTTAACTACCTCCTCGCGCACTGCCCACTGTCGAGAGCAGGCCTTCGAAACCCCACCTTTTGCGATCGTACACTCGGTGAAGGCCAATTAGGTTTTTGAGAGCGATTGCTCCCTCTTTTTCGTTTTCGAGCACTACTTCGTCACTTTCTCGTGTCCTTTGACATCACCATTTCGAGCGGAGCCGAGAAGAAGGCTGCCAGCGAGGCTGCCGCCGCCGTCGCGGCTATGACTTGACTGATTGGAGAGTTTAATCCGCTTATCGCTCTACTGTTTATTCCCGTGTTCAATGCCGTGTTCATGATTTATTTTAGTGTTATATTAACAAAAAATGTTAATTAATCTGATAATAACAATATTAATCTCATACCGATATCTAAACATGTGAGCTCATACTAGACATAGAAGTGGAGCATCCATGAAAACGACAAGCATGCCTAGCACATGATTAACATATCACACCCGTCAGTTGGCCAGCACAAAGCCATGGCGGCAAAAACTTCTGCTGTGTCATGAACTATTGTGATGTCCAGGAGGTCGAGGACGTAGTCGAAGTAGAGGAACAACAGCGAGCAATTGCACCTGAGACGCTCCCCGGAAACCTAATCGCCCTTCTCCTAGTGCAGGATCTCAAATGACAGGGTTTTGGAGGCCTACTCTCTCGTACAGTCGTGCACGTAGTCAACGGAATGGAATCGCCGGAAGTAGTGGCGGCAAGAGAAACGACGATGGGTTCTGCATGAGGAGGCAAAACAGATGCGATCTGATCTAGGTGACGACGTCTCGGTTTTGTGGCGCGTTCGTTAATAACTCGTAATTAATTTTCACTTAAATATTCATTCCTGACAGGCAAAATAAAAGTGCAGGCATGGCACATGTTTGAGCTGTCGCCTCGTCAATCAAACACTGCGAGCGAGGCGAGGCGGGCGGCGGAGGAGTAGTGTGTGTATATCACCCCTAAACTCAAGCTCCCATAGAATTGAAAATAGAAATGGAATCTCTTATAAGAAGGTCTCAGCTATTCTCCACTAACATAATGGGACTAAACTTCCGACCATGCTACGAAACCCCACATGAGCCTTTGAGATTTTTTAGAAATTATGTCATCTATGCACCCAAGACCCATCTATAATTCAACATGCTGCAATGTGTAGTTTCTGTACATTCTCCTTGGATTCCTGTGTATACCATTGACCCTTGGGAGGGACAAAGGCAGGAGAAAATCGACCAGACATGCATCCATGTGTATGCAGGTTTTGCAGATGTAGATCTGAAATTCTCATGGAAATTCCTGACAGCTGGCAAGAATTTCGCGTAGGGTTGACTGATCTGGTTGATAATTATCTCACATCCCACTTGCCCAAGTTCAGATCCGCATACGCTTCGACTAACCGAATTGATCAACTAGCCGTTTTATTATGCGGCTGGAGCAAGCAGCTAAAACATGCACCATGCATGACAGCAAGTTACTGATTGCCATCACATGCATGTTACGTGCATTCACCGCCTGAAAGAACGGTGGATCGGAGCAGAAGCAAACATGCATGCCAAACAAGTCGCCGATCACATGCCAACATGGAACCTAATTAAGAGCTTGATTAGATCAGGAAGGATAATATCTTAGATAGCAATTGTACTGCCACATGTACACACGATACATCTCGAGGTTGTTCGTTGTTGAGTAGTTCATTTTTTTAAACGGTCACGGGAGGGAAGAACTTCTTCACCTGAATATATTATCACTCTAATGTAGTACTATATTCCATTGTGGGATTGCTAAAACTCAGTCGATTGGGACTTAACGAAGTCTCAGTCGATGCGATCTTACGTGGAGATCCATGTAAAAAAATTCTTCTTCTTTTATATATGTTCTATTACTTAACCGAGACTTAGTTAAGTCGTAGTCGACCGAGATCTAGCCACACCTTTTACATTATGAGAGGGACTTAAATCTAGATGAAAGATAAAGCTGCCAAGACTTGGCCGTCCTTTGACGTAATGTTTTTGACCTAAAGATCAGAGAAACATCTAGCACAATGTTTCTAACAGTCATCCTGCAAGGTGATTTTCGTCATGGAAGACTAGAACATTATGAGAGTCCCATATTTTTTCAAAGAATGATGAGTGATACAAGAAGGCCAAATGTTGGGGTCGAGGCTGTCGGGAGCTGCAGCCTCCGAAATAAGGTCTAAAGATCGATGGAGGCGGCACGAATCCTATGTCGATCCACATTTAAGACGCGGCCGGGCAGAGAAGAGCGATGTGTGCAACGTCTTCACAAGGAGCATCGCAGTTGGGGCATGAAAGGCGAGTAGATGATTAGCAAGTGTACATGATGCACAGCAGCACATTCTGTTGAAGCAACTAAGCCACGACCATCGGTACGAGAGGGACTCGCTGTAGAGAGAGGTGATTTTTTCTTCAATTGCGTATGGTATTACATGTATATATGCA